AGAATAGGTTATGGTGGGATATGCAGATGGTGGCCTCAAGGGAGGTAGGTGCTGTGAGAACAGGTGTGTGAGAGACAAGTACAGGTGTGCGAGACAAGAACAGGTGTGACGACCAGGGGGGGGGGGGGGGGGGCAGGCGAGGTGAGGGCGCACGTGGACAGCGCATCGGGTTTGTTTACCCAGGAAAGACGGGATCAAAATAAACCATCCCTGTACATCTGTCAACCACGAGTGGGCGTCGGCTAGTGGGTGTGGAATGATTGGGTAAAAACTGGTGACGTCACTACCGACTCCTCCAATTACAAGCCACTTCTTCAAAATTATGAAATGATATCTATCGAGCTATATTGCTATAACATACTAAACATGTATTCTGCTTTGAACTAAAACAAGTGTATACAACAATCATTAAAACAATGTTTGGATACTCTTTCTAGACGAATGTGGACAGTAATATTATTAAAATAAAATATTCCTAGTTTTGTCATTCACATGAGAGGCTTCGCCGGTGACGTCACGAGTAATAGACTTTTTACTGTACAGCCCTAACTTAAACAAACTACTTTTGTCCTCTAAAAATCACTACGTCATGACTTCGATGTCTAACAGGTCGCAGACTCCCATTCGTGGCTGTGTGGGCTACATATACATAATGCAATATACATATGGTCAGGAGAAGCTTAACAACTTCCTCCTGTAAGAATACAAATATTTATTTTTCCCTTTACTCCTACAGTTTGATTTTGATTTTGTGTTCATTAAGTTATGTGCCAAAAATAGATCAGTATAATTCCTTCGACACTACACAAAATTTATATCTTCAAACAATCTCAAAATAGGTAAAAATGTATACAACATAATCATATCAACAGTTCATTCTTGGCATTCAGTTAAAATGTACAAAAAAAAATGAAATACAAAATATCCAGACTGATCAAAATAATTCAGCATTTAAGGGGTAGAACGAGACATGAAAACCTCCAGAAACAAACCCTCAGTACCAGAACCAACCCAATACAAACACACATTAAGGGATCAACAACAAAACATCCTCCTTAACAGGTCCAACTGAGATATATCTCTCAAGCCTTCCCCTCTACTGACCCCCAAACTCAAACCTTGGCATGGCTAGCTGGCATAATTTTCTTCAGCGTGATGTCCTGTGGCAGGAACTAGCATTGAGAGTTTGCTTCTAGCTCTATTTCGAACTAGGAGATGATCTAATGAAGAACCAATACTAGAAAGGGGGGTGAACCCAATTTGAATAGATACTGCAAAATAGATAACACATTTAGACGCATATAAATATGCCTCTGAACAAATGAAACGGTGAAAATAAAAACAGTTCAACATTAGGAGAAATAGGCACATGATGCCATACAACACGGCAAGCAGGACATTAGAAAGAATATCATACCTACATATAATATGTACAGGCCCAATTTTATACATCTCAAAATTCATGTTAATTTGTTTTTCTCTTCGCTAACTAGGCTAAGGCTTCTTCTTAGTCTGTTGAAAAACATAGGTAACATAGAACAACGTAACTCTAGTGAGCAGACGACACACACTCGAACTCGAGGGCTTTCCAGAGGCAACCTGGAGGCCCTCGAAGTCCTAACACTCCAGAGGCCCTCGACGTCCTAACACTCCAGAGATCATCGACGTCCTAACACCCCAGAGGCCATCGAAGTCCTAACACTCCAGAGGCCCTTGACGTCCTAACACTCCAGAGGCCATCGAAGTCCTAACACTCCAGAGGCCCTCGACGTCCTAACACTCCGGAGGCCCTCGAAGTCCTAACACTCCAGAGGCCCTTGACGTCCTAACACTCCAGAGGCCATCGAAGTCCTAACACTCCAGAGGCCCTCGACGTCCTAACACTCCAGAGGTCCTCGACGTCCTAACACTCCAGAGGTCCTCGACGTCCTAACACTCCGGAGGCCCTCGACGTCCTAACACTCCGGAGGCCCTCGACGTCCTAACACTCCAGAGGCCCTCGACGTCCTAACACTCCAGAGGCCCTCGACGTCCTAACACTCCAGAGGCATTACCATTAAGCATCACATTCGGGGGTTTCCAGAGCCAGGTTTCCCCGGCAATGTTCTCGACAGTAAAGTGGAGTAATAAGCTTGCAAAGTCTCTGAAGACTAAACTTCTTTTACCTTTTTCTTATCAAGATTTTCCTTTGAAAGTTTTTATTTTTAATTCGGGAATGTGTAAATATACAAGTTATCCTCCAATTTTGTTTTTCCCCAATACCTAAATTTTTTTTGTGGTTTATTAACAAACTTTTCAAATGGAAACTTAATTAAAATGACTTGATTTTTATCCAAATCATTTAAGATAGGAAATACTTATTTCTTCTTCCCCTTTATATTCAGCTGTAACTTGCACTAAACTTTCTGTACATTTACCAAACACAAGTGATTCGACGAGACTAAAATTAATCGATCACCATTCTCGTCTCAATTACCCTAGCGAGCTTTTCAAAATAATAACGGTTTCTTCCTTAACAATGCACAGCTAAAGCTTCACAAGCTTGTTAAGGGTCGAATCACTTTGTTTTTATCTTTCAAGGGGTAACAAGCGTAAGGCACCCTAAATAAAGAGGCCGCGAGAGCACCTGTCCTCGCTCGCATCCCTTCACCACCACTACACCAGCTACGTCTCGATCATTACACCACACAAGCCCGGGATCACATAGGCGCTCACAATTACAAGCTGTGTGTGTGTGGGGGGGGGGTGTATGGGAGGGTTGTGTGTTTGTAGGTGGGGAGGGTTGTGTGTGTAGGTGGGGAGGGTTGTGTGTGTGGGTGGGGGGGTTTGTGTGTGGGGGGGGGTTTGTGTGGGGAGGTTTGTGTGGGAGGGGGGCTGTGTGTGTGTGGGGGAGGGGTTGTGTGTGTGGGTGGGGGTTTGTGTGTGGGGGGGGTTGTGTGTGGGGAGGTTTGTGTGGGGGGCTGTGTGTGTGGGGGGGAGGGGTTGTGTGTGTGTGGGGGGGAGGGGCTGTGTGTGTGGGGGGGAGGGGTTGTGTGTGTGGGGGGGAGGGGTTGTGTGTGTGTGGGGGAGGGGTTTGTGTGTGTGGTGTGGGGGGGAGGGGTTGTGTGTGTGGGGGGGGGGTTTGTGTGGAGAGGGTTGTGTTTGGGGGTTTGTGTGTGGGGGGGGGTTTGTGTGTGGGGGGGTTGTGTGTGGGGGGGGCTTGAGTGTGGGGGGTGGGTGGGGGGGGATTTGGGTGTGGGGGGAATTTGGGAGTGGGGAGGGGAATTTGGGAGTGGGGGGGAATTTGGGAGTGGGGGGGGGAATTTGGGAGTGGGGGGGGGGGAATTTGGGAGTGGGGGGGGGAATTTGGGAGTGGGGGGGGGGGGGAATTTGGGAGTGGTGGGGGGAATTTGGGAGTGGTGGGGGGAATTTGGGAGTGGTGGGGGGAATTTGGGAGTGGGGGGGGGGGAATTTGGGAGTGTGGGGGGGGGGGGAATTTGGGTGTGAGGGGGGATTTAGGTGTGTGTGTGGGGGGGGGGGGGGGTGTGTGTGTGTGAGGGGGGGTTCTTGTGTGTGGGGGGGGTTGTGTGTGGGGGGGGGGTTGTGTGTGTGTGGGGGGGGGGTTGTGTGTGTGTGGGGGGGGGGTTGTGTGTGTGTGGGGGGGGGGGTTGTGTGTGTGGGGGGGGGGGGTGTGTGTGTGTGGGGGGGGGGGTTGTGTGTGTGTGGGGGGGGGGTTGTGTGTGTGTGGGGGGGGGGTTGTGTGGGGTGGGGGGGGGGGGGTTGTGTGTGTGTGGGGGGGGTTGTGTGTGTGTGGGGGGGGGGGGTTGTGTGTGTGTGGGGGGGGTTGTGTGTGTGTGGGGGGGTGGTTGTGGGGGGGGGGGTTGTGTGTGTGTGGGGGGGGGTGTGTGTGTGTGTGTGGGGGGGGTTGTGTGTGTGTGGGGGGGGGGGTGTGTGTGTGGGGGGGGGGGGTTGTGTGTGTGGGGGGGGGGGGTTGTGTGTGTGTGGGGGGGGTTGTGTGTGTGTGTGGGGGGGGGGGGTTGTGTGTGTGGGGGGGGGGGTGTGTGTGTGTGGGGGGGGGGGGTTGTGTGTGTGTGGGGGGGGGTGTGTGTGTGTGTGGGGGGGGGGTTGTGTGTGTGTGGTGGGGGGGGGTGTGTGTGTGTGGGGGGGGGGGTGTGTGTGTGTGTTGTGTGGGGGGGGGGTTGTGTGTGTGTGGGGGGGGGGGGTGTGTGTGTGTGTGGGGGGGGGGGGTGTGTGTGTGTGGGGGGGGGGGGGTTGTGTGTGTGTGGGGGGGGGTTGTGTGTGTGTGGGGGGGGTGTGTGTGTGTGTGGGGGGTGTGTGTGTGTGGAGGGGGGGGTTGTGTGTGTGTGGGGGGGGGGTGTGTGTGTGTGTGGGGGGGGGGGTTGTGTGTGTGTGGGGGGGGGTTGTGTGTGTGGGGGGGGGGTTGTGTGTGTGGGGGTGTGTGTGTGGAGGGGGGGTTGTGTGTGTGGGGGGGGGGTTGTGTGTGTGGGGGGGGGGTTGTGTGTGTGTAGGGGGGGGGGGTGTGTGTGTGGGGGGGGGTTGTGTGTGTGTGGGGGGGGGTTGTGTGTGTGTGGGGGGGGGGGGGTTGTGTGTGTGGGGGGGGGGTTGTGTGTGTGTGGGGGGGGGTTGGTGTGTGTGGGGGGTGTGTGTGGAGGGGGGGGTTGTGTGTGTGTGTGGGGGGGGGTTGTGTGTGTGGGGGGGGGGGGTGTGTGTGTGTGTGGGGGGGGGGGTTGTGTGTGTGGGGGGGGGGTTGTGTGTGTGTGGGGGGGGGTTTGTGTGTGTGTGGGGGGGGGGGGTTGTGTGTGTGTGTGGGGGGGGGTTGTGTGTGTGTGGGGGGGGGGTTGTGTGTGTGGGGGGGGGGGTGTGGAGGGGGGGGTGTGTGTGTGTGTGGGGGGGGGTTGTGTGTGTGTGTAGGGGGGGGGGTTGTGTGTGTGTGTGTGGGGGGGGGGTTGTGTGTGTGTGTGGGGGGGGGGTTGTGTGTGAGGGGGGGGGTTGTGTGCCCCCCTACCCTACCCTACCTACTTCGTCGAGAAAACGTAAAATCGTACACTTTCCGTGTTAATAAATATAAAAAGAAAAATTATTAAAAATCGACTAGTATGCCATTCCCATACATTATCACAATGGTTAAATAATAGGGAACAAACGTTCTAAATGGCGTTCTACGCTCCTTGGAGCGTAGTGTACCAGTTGGCCTCAGGTTTAGCTTCGTAGCTGTGGCCTACACCCTCTCACACTTGCCTCGTCAACATCTTCACTCTGGCACGCTACCTCCAAGCCAGACGAAGGCGCCTAAAAATGATGGGTAAACGACATGGATGTGGTTGGGAATCAGCCCTGGCAGGGACGGGGGCCCAGGAGCCACAACACTGGTGCGTGTTTGTCACGGCTACGCTACACCCCTTGAGACACTACTTGAGCGATTCTGAGAACCTTCACTGAGCTGGGGGAGAGGATCGAATGGCAGTAAGTCTTCCTCGTTATGATCTCACTAGGACCTTTGTTTCTTTAAGACGGGTCGCCTGGTTGCAGTCAGGGTGTCCACGTCCCCTCCCCCAGTACTTGTAAGGATCCGCCGCCCATACTCTTGCGTGGGCGTGCGGGCGTGAAGTCCTCAGGTACGTGTCCTTGTCGGCAGCGCCGCCCCCCGCCCATTGCTTCAGGCCAACCCACGCCCACTCATCACATTAAAGTCTTGATAACACTCATTTGGTAGCAAAGCTGTCTTCACACGGAAAGTGTTGTCGGCTTAGATAAAAACGGACGTCTCGCCCGCCTCTTGTGTGAACACATTAAACAAATATCACAACACGTCTTTCCACCTACAGTATGGGTGGCCATCATACAATTATCAAAGTATATATATATATATATTTATATATATTTATATTTATAAAGCTAAAGCATTAAAGAAATACAGTGTACTCTTTCTCCACTCATCGCAAGTTTAAAGATCCTTCACACAGGAATATAACTCAACTCCGAGGAAGGCCAGGCAGTAAGTGAAAGGTGTGAACATTGTGCGCCTGAGAACGCACCAAATATTCTATAAGAGTTGCCCATCCTCAACAGCTGCGGAGGGAGGAGAAAACGAAAGTAGAAAACGGAAAGGGTGAAACCAACACAGAAAAAAAACATAGAAAACACAGGTAGCGACAGTTACTTGTTCTCGACTACCCGAGGGAGGAATAACAGAGAAAAGGGGGATGAATGGTGTAGAAGAAGGGGGGCATTAGGAAGGAGAAGAGGGGGGGGGCATTAGGAAGGAGTAGCGGCGACAACCCCGTATCACACACACCCCATACGGTCACTTGAAGGAGCTTGGCAGGTCACTCAGTTATACCCAGTTGGCCGGATAAGAGACTTAACAAAAATGTCCCACATAGACGGCATAAGAAATACATTATCAGCTTCAAAGCGGGATTTTTTCAATTTTTTTTTTTACACACACACATATATATATATATATATATCATCCCTTAGATTAATACAGATTATAGCTACTCTGCAAGGAGGCATGCGTTCATCTTCTTGTATCACTCGCAATTTGAGACGGATCTCAAGATAGCGTTCACATCTGCTTAACAAGGACTGTGAGAGTAAGCCTGCCAGACTCCTGAGGACACGACCTGCTGGGGGCGACGGAGAAGCGCCGATACCTCGTGTCTTTTACGCCAGGAAATAAGAAACTAAAATATCTTAAGCAATAGGTCTTTTCATCAGGTCCAACGAGTTAGTGCCGAGGACTTCATCCACCAGCTCAGCCAGCAGGCACTCGACACACTCAAGAGTGAGTGGGCAGGTGGACCATTCAAACGGCAACACCCAAACACACACACACACACACACGCACGCAAACTCCCACATACTTGCAGACGCCAATTCTATACTTATACACCCAGTACAAGTATGCAGACACACACACACACACACACACCGCTACACACTAGCCCCCTCTCATCCAAAACTACAATGACAGTGGAGTGGCCGGCACGACAAGGAGGACAAGCAGCAGGAGAAGAGCACCCAGATGCACCTGTCCACCCGCTGGTCCCTTCCTCCAGCTGCTGCTGCTGCTGGAGTTCATCCCGCTCATCTCCATGCACTTTCCTGCGGGAGAGAGAAAGAGTAACACAACCCGTCAGAGGACCACTCACAACACCTCTATATAAGGCCTACGGGCTCACCATAGCCCGTGCTACTTGGAACTTTATGTTCCAGGTAGCGAATCTTTAACAACAACAACGTCTATAAACACATTATTACAAGTAACTCACACGTATGAAGTGAAAGGTTACGACGACACCTTTTCCAGCAACTTTCACTTCACGTACGTGTAACTTGGGTGGTTTCAATCACGTTTTTATAACAATTTATGCATATTATTATTATTACTCAGAGAAATTACATTAACGTGATATATCATAGAACAAATAACACTCTGGGAACACTCAGTGCATAACACACACACACACAGATCACACTAACGTGATGCATCAAATGAACAAATCCACAAGGGCCGTGACGAGGATTCGAACCTGCGTCCGGGAGCATCCCAGACAGAGCATCCCATAGCTCAGTCGATTAAGGCAGTGTCTGGGATGCTCCCGGACGCAGGTTCGAATCCTCGTCACGGCCCTTGTGGATTTGTTCATTTACTCAGTGCATAGATTCGAACACTCAATCATGTAGATTTATTAATAATATTATTAATATTATTATTATTATCATTATCATTAGAGGGTGTGATTAAAATTTGTACATACTATCTTTATATTTTTACAAAGCTACAGGACCTTATTTCATATCAAAACAAAAATATTTTGTTTTCCTTCCACTGATTAAAATGAACACAAATTTCTTCCATATTATTACATAATTCAGAGTTAATACATGCCAAAGCTGTATTTTTTTAATTTTATATTAATTCAATTCACAACTTCCTGCATTCTTTCCTACTCAGCAGAACCACCGAGTAAAGCTCGACTCCCTTACTTGGTAATGGAAAAATTTTACATTGGAAATTTTTTTACTTGGAAAAAAAATCCTTATTTCCATAAGTCTGAAAACAAGTTCATTTCATTCTGGACAAATGCACTAGCATACCTTAAACAAATCAAAAGGGTTTAATTTAAACAACGGATCAATATGCAGGCGATGAGTCACAATAACGTGGCTGAAGAATGTTGACCAGACCACACACACTAGAAGGTGAAGGGACGACGACGTTTCGGTCCGTCCTGGACCATTCTCAAGTCTTGAGAATGGTCCAGGACGGACCGAAACGTCGTCGTCGTCCCCTTCACCCAGTGTATGTTCTGGTCAACAACGGATCAATATATCTTACATTAATCAAAATAACACATTGGCATTATTCCTATTTTTCACAAATATAAACGCTAATATTTTAGAATAAATTTATACAGCATAACCAAAGTTTTCTACTGTATAGGAAGTAGTGACTCCCACTGACACAGAAAAACTAGTGTACACTACACATTCTTCAAATACATTGAGAAAATCAGATGGAGCCATGAAATCAAAATACATTAGAACACATCAACATTCATAAAAAATATATTACCATTCATCAACATCCATAAAAAACTACATTAGCATACAGTAACAATCGTAAAATACATCAGCATGCATTAACAATCATAAAATACATTTGCATACATCAACATTCATCATAAAAGACATTTGCATACATCAACATTCATCATAAAATACATTTGCATACATCAACATTCTCATAAAATACATTTGCATACATCAACATTCATCATAAAATACATTTGCATACATCAACATTCATCATAAAATACATTTGCATACATCAACATTCATCATAAAATACATTTGCATACATCAACATTCATCATAAAATACATTTTGCATACATCAACATTCATCATAAAATACATTTGCATACATCAACATTCATCATAAAATACAACAGTATCCACCAACTGAAATCAATCTAACACATTCCACCTTTTAGAACATTGTGTTTTGCAAGAAAATAATCCCAGAAGTTCCCCAAAACCATTGTTCTTCACCTTACTTTACAAACAACCAAAGTCAACCAAATTATATCGGAAACAGTTACCATATATCCTACCAGAGTGACCTCCATCTCAACCCAAGGGCAATATACTATAATTATTGTATTTCAAGGTGATTAAATCTTGAAGTACGTGATTACAGGTGAAGCAACGGGGACACACACACACACACACACACACACACACACACCACACACACACACACACACACACGCACACGCGCACGCACACAACAACCCACACACACACACACACACACACACACACACACACACACGCACACACACACGCGCACCACACACACACACACACACACACACACACACACACACACACACACACACACACACACACACAAGCATCCAACCTACACATGAACCATGCACATTAAACAAACCCACCTGCCAGCGTAGCATTGAGAGCGATGTGAGCATCGTGCTGCCGCTGGATGCAAGTGTCATGGCGGGCTGTGAGGGTGAGGGTGTTGGTGGCTCCTGGTGCAGACGCCACGCTGTAGGCGAAGCAGACGCGACGAGGCGCCCCAGACGCCCGGGACATCGGTGACGCCACCACGTACGTCACCCCCTCTGACTCCCACTGGCCGTGACAATGGAATACTGTTGGAGGGACAGGAATTAACAGGTTATCTTGAGGTGATTTCGGGGCTATTAAGTGTCCCCGCGGCCCGGTCCTCGACCAGGCCTCCACCCCCAGGAAGCAGCCCGTGACAGCTGACTAACACCCAGGTACCTATTTACTGCTAGGTAACATATTACCTAGCGAGGAGGCGATTATAACACATAGAAATCACAATAGCGTGATGTATCAAATGATACATCGCTTGTGTATTGTGTAAATTGGGGGAATTGTGTAAATTCCTGGCTTGTGTCTCAGAGAGGCTGCAGGATAAAATTAAATTCAGTAGAATTTCCGGTTGCAATTCTTTTTACCATGTAGCTCAGTCGATTAAGGCAGCGTCTGGAATGCTCTCGGACGTAGGTTCGAATCCTCGTCACAGCCCTTGTGGATTTGTTCAAGGATGGGAAAGATTGGAATTTTAAGTGTTATTATTATAAATTATACTTTAATAAATGAGAAAATATACGCAAATCAAACAATACGCACGCACGCGCGCGCGCACACACACAAAACCCCACCAAAATACTCCCTGACCTTAAACATCATGACTGACGACAGCCAGAATTACTTCGTACTAACATTTACAGCCCTCATACAATATTAATGAAAACAAACATTTACAAACATTTTAAACATTCTCAGCGCATTTTATTCACTCTAACACCTTCAACTAATGCTTCCCTCACGTTTAAACTATAGTGACCTAATTACGGCATATATCGAGCTCTTGAGCCTCTGTGACAGCTCTTTCTATACCAAACACGATTCATCTCTCCGTGCCACGAGAGGCAACGAAATCAAATAAAACTGAACTGAGATAATTGTATTAATATTGTTTATGAGGTTCAAACGGGCGCGTCCTTTGAGCGGCCAAATGGACTTGGCCTGACTTTGTACAATACAAAGCCTCGCATAGAACAGTTAGTGCGCGAGTAATGGTGTGTTGTGTTGTGTGTGTGTGTGTGTATGTGTGTGTGGGGTGTGTGTGTGTGTGTGTGTGTGTGTGTGTGTGTGTGTGGTGTGTGTGGTGTGTGTGTGTGTGTGTGTGTGTGGTGTGTGGTGTGTGGGGTGTGTGGGGTGGGTGTGTTGTGTTGTGTTTGTGTAAGTGTGTGTGGGGTGTGTGGGGTGGGTGTGTTGTGTTGTGTTGTGTAAGTGTGTGTGTGTGTGGTGTGTGTGTGTGTGTGTGTGTGTGTGTGTGTGTGTGTGTGTGTGTGTGTGTGTGTGTCGTGTGTGTGTGTGTGTGTGTTGTGTGTGTCGGTGGTGTGGGGTGTGTGTGTGTTGTGTGTTGTGTGGTGTGTGTGTGTGTGTGTGTGTGTGTGTGGGTGTGTGTGGTGTGTGTGTATGTGTGTGTGTTGTGTTGTGTGTGTGTGTGTGTGTGTGTGTGTGTGTGTGTTGTGTGTGTGTGTGTGTGTGGGTGGGTGTGTGTGTGTGTGTTGTGCTCACCTATTTGTGTTTGCGGGGGTTGAGCTCTGGCTCTTTGGTCCCGCCTCTCGACCGTCAGTCAACTGGTGTACAGGTTCCTGAGCCTACTGGGCTCTATCATATCTACATTTGAAACTGTGTATGGAGTCAGCCTCCACCACATCACTTCCTAATGCATTCCATTTACTAACTACTCTGACACTGAAAAAGTTCTTTCTAACGTCCCTGTGGCTCATTTGGGTACTCGGTTTCCACCTGTGTCCCCTTGTTCGCGTCCCACCAGTGTTGAATAGTTTATCCCTGTCTACCCTGTCAATCCCCCTGAGGATTTTGTAGGTAGTGATGTCTGATCTTACTCTTCTGTCTTCCAGTGTCGTAAAGTGTATTTCCCGCAGCCTTTCCTCGTAACTCATGCCTCTTAGTTCTGGGACTAGTCTAGTGGCATACCTCTGAACTTTTTCCAGCTTCGTCTTGAGCTTGACAAGGTACGGGCTCCATGCTGGGGCCGCATACTCCAGGATTTGTCTTACATATGTGGTGTACAAGATTCTGAATGATTCCTTACACAGGTTCCTGAACGCCGTTCTGATGTTAGCCAGCCTCGCATATGCCGCAGACGTTATTCTTTTTATGTGGGCTTCAGGAGACAGGTTTGGTGTGATATCAACTCCTACATCTTTCTCTCTGTCCGTTTAAGTAAGTACTTCATCTCCTATTCTGCATCCTGTGTCTGGCCTCCTGTTTCCACTGCCTAGTTTCATTATTTTGCACTTGCTCGAGTTAAACTCTACTAGCCACTAGTTGGACCATAGTTTTGGGCTGACCAGTTCATCTATGGCCTCTCGGTCTCTTCCTCTGTCTTAATCCTCCTCATAATTTTTCCATCAGCAAACATTCAGAGGAATGATTCTGTTCCCTCTGGAAGATCATATATGAGAAACAGGATAGGTCCGACCAGTGAGCAGTGTGAGATCCTGGTTGTGCTTACAGGGGTTGAGCTTTAGCTCTTTGGTCCCGCCTAGTGTGAGATCCTGGTGGTGACACCTTACCAGACTCTGAGGTAAAGTGCTTAACCACACAGTAGTCTGATAGTGTGTTGCAGCTATCTTACCCTGTCACAGTGAGACATACAAGTATGTGTAAGTATATATATGTATGTATGCATATTTAAATGGGTGAGCTGGTCGGAATGGTATTTCACCTTTGTAAAAGTACAATAATCACATTATGTATAAAAGAACATACCTCTAACATTGTTTATATAGGACAGACCTAAATCTATGTATTTATGTAAGATTAGCATTTTAAAGGCACTAAAATCACCTTCTATGATTGATTAATAAATCACTGAACTATATGTTTAACACATCTCTAACTCTGTCCATGGAGGACAGAAAAAAATGTATATATATTCTGGTTAGCATTGTAAATGTGTGGCCACGTCTGTGGCAGAATAAAAAAAAATATTGAAACCTCACCCTCTCACAGTGACTCGCCGTTTTCTGATGCTTAGGTACTCCTTTCTCCAATGGAGTACATTCCCGGCCAGTCCTGCCTGTTTCTCTAGCATATGCAACCTCTTATGGGGGTACTGTGTCTAAGTCTTTCTGGCAATTACAAAATATGCAGTCTACCCACCCTTTCTCTTTTTTTTGTCAATGTTTTTATTTGTTGGTTTTTGCATGTCTATGAGTGCGTTTCTTCACGACTTCTTTTAATACGCAATGGCTATCTTACGTTATCTCTTCTTGCCCATTAATCAACCAATGATAGTAAAGCCAGACGTCAGAAATAATAACTAACCCGTGTTGACCAGACCACACACTAGAAGGTGAAGGGACGACGACGTTTCGGTCCGTCCTGGACCATTCTCAAGTCGATTGAGTCGATTGTGTCACAATCGACTTGAGAATGGTCCAGGATGGCCCGAAACGTCGTCGTCCCTTCACCTTCTAGTGTGTGGTCTGGTCAACATTCTTCAGCCGCGTTATAGTGACTCCTCGCCTGCAACTAACCCATTATTTTTTCTGGCGTCTGCGGGAGTGACGGACCAGACTAGTTACATCAGTGACCCCTGCAACGTCCTCTCTCTTGTGTAACACTGTTTTCTCTGGTTCTTCTCCTCTCTTGTGTACTTGTATGTATCCTGTGTCAATCCCCCCCCCCATCACCCCCCTCCTTGCTTCCGTCAGTGAGCACGTCCCCCTCTCTCCCTCTCCCCCAGCAGGTGAGGGGGGAGCAACTTCCCCTCGTAGGGGAGGAGAATTTTTTTTTTGTGTTGTTCCACACCGGAACGCAAAAAAAACACAAACCCTTTTAACAGACTAACACTGAGACGTTGTCGGTGCCTGACGCAGACAGTGGGGAGGGGGGGAGAATAGGGGGGGAGGGGGGAGAATAGGGGGGGGGAGGGACGTGCAATGGTTGAGAGAGGGGGGGTTGTGGTGCCTTTAACCCCCCCCCCTCCCCTCTGGCCTTAACAGTGATATGCCCGGAAAGAGGGGGGGGGGGAGGGAATGGGGAGGGGAAGACTGCCAGCTTAATACTCTTCTTGCGTGGTCACCCTACGGGGATGGGGGGGGGCTTTTTTATAGAGGGAAAGAGGGGGGAGGGATGAGAGTTGGGTTCCGAGAAGAAAGAGGTTGGTGGCTGTTGTGCAAACAGCCACACAACAGCCAAGAGTCCACGAGACACCAGATGATAGTGGGAGGGAGCGAGGGATGGGAGGGAGAGGATAGGGGAAAAGAAAGAGGGGAGGGAAGGAGGGAGGAAGGAAGGGAGGGAAATAGGGAGGAAGGAAGGGAGGGAGGGAAGGAGGGAGGAAGGAAGGGAGGGAGGGAAGGAGGGAGGAAGGAAGGGAGGGAGGGAAGGAGGGAGGAAGGGAGGGAAATAGGGAGGGAAGGAGGGAGGAAGGAAGGGAGGGGAAAATAGGGAGGGAGGGAGGGAGGGAGGGAGGGAGGGATGGAGGGAGAGGATAGGGGAAAAGAAAGAGGGAAGGAGAGAGAGAATGAAAGCGGGGAGGAAAAAGAGAGGTAAACTAAGAGGCATAGGTATAAGAGAGGGAGACAGAGAGGTAAATAAGGGAGGGAGGCATAGAGCAGTGAGAGGGGAGACACAGAAATGAGAAAAAAAGAAAAGGGAAGAGGGGGGTGGGTGGGAAAGGTGAAACCAAGACCACATTAAAGCCTCAATTCCTTTCTTTCCATCCCATCACCGTCACACTGCAGCACCCAGCGCAGCCCCACCGTCACACACCAACCCTACGTCACAACCCAGAACACACATTACTAACCCAAACAGTCAGGAGGATCAGACTCACTTCCTCCCCTCCTCCCTCTCTCTCTCTCCCTCTCTCTCTCTCTCTCTCTCTCTCTCTCTCTCTCTCTCTCTCTCTCTCTCTCTCTCTCCTCTCCCTCTCTCTCTCTCCCTCTCTCTCTCTCCCCTCTCTCCCTCTCTCTCCCTCTCTCTCCCTCTCTCTCTCTCCCTCTCTCCCTCTCTCTCTCTCCCTCTCTCCCTCTCTCTCTCTAGACCCTCTTCCCCTGCGTTTCTCTTACTGAATCCTCTTCATTATCTCTCTATCACCCTCTAATTCTAAATCAGTACCTACTTCTTATCTATAAAGATAAGCAATCTATAGCCAATCTAAATCAACAAATTTAGTTTCCGCTTGTAACCACAGTTCAAATCAGGGTCAAAGGCTTGAAGTATGTGACTAAGTATGAACATACTTCACATACTTCATATACACATATGAAGTATGTGTATATGTATGATTGAATGTGACTACTGAAACAGTCTAGTTTCTACCCGTGTCCCCTTGTTCGGCGTACCACCCGTGTTAAACAATTTATCTTATCTACCCTGTCAATTCCTCTGAGAATTTTGTAGGTTGTAATCATGTTTCCCGGAGTTCTCCTGTCTTCCAGCGATGTGAGGTGTATTTCACGCAGCCTTTCCTTGTAACTTATGCCTCTTTGTGTTGGGACTAGCCTAGTGGTGTGTGTGTGTGGTGTGTGTGTGGTGTGTGTGTGGTGTGTGTGTGGTGTGTGGTGTGTGTGTGGTGTGTGTGTGGTGTGTGTGTGTGTGTGTGTGTGCGTGCGTGCGTGCGTGCGTGCGTGCGTGCGTGCGTGCGTGCGTGCATTCACCTAGTTTTATTTGTGGGGGTTGAGCTTTGCTCTTTCGGCCCGCCTCTCAACTGTCAATCAACTGTTTACTAACTACTATTTTTTTTCACTACACACACACACCAGGAAGCAGCCCGTGACAACTGACTAACTCCCAGGTACCTATTTACTGCTAGGTAACAGGGGCATCCAGGGTGAAAGAAACTTTTGCCCATTTGTTTCTGCCTCGTGCGGGAATCGAACCCGCGCCACAGAATTACGAGTCCTGCGCGCTATCCACCAGGCTACGAGGCCTGCGTGCGCACGCGTGCGTTTGTGAGTGCATGCGTGTGCTACCCAACAAAATCATCACAGCAACAATCGCCTAATCAACGCAACACTGCAAAAAAATAACAACAAAACCTGAACATTACAATGAAAGCAATGAGCAAATAAGACCCAGCCAATCCTTACCGTAGACAGATTCCTCAGGACATCTGGCGTTGAGCTGCAAGGTATTCCCAGAGTCGGAGTTACAGCCCACCGTCACGCGGGTGAAGGTGGTGGCGTCGCCGGCGCAGGGCACCAGAGTATCGGGCACGTGGTACCTACCGAAAGGCCCGCAGGGGCCGGGCGGGCCTCCGGCAGCCACCAGCGTCGTGAGGTTCGCCGTGGCGGGCGACCAGTAGTGGGAGGAACAAGCCTCTTCGGCCGTGAAGGCCAGTTCGCCCGACCGTACCTGAACCACGTGTTCATCTCGATGGTAGATTCTCAGGCACTGGTAGCCGCTCTTGCTGCTCGAGGGGAGAAAGATGAGGTGAGAAAGGGGAAAAAGGTTCATTGGTTAGACTTTTCCTAATGACGATAACATGCTTATCGTCTTCAGCGTCTTAAGACAGGTCTTAAACTTCTACCTTACTAAACAATCCAACAATGGATACATACGGTAATATATGTATCTGAATGATCTGAATTCCCGTTTGAGGCTATATATATATATATATATATATATATATATATATATATATATATATATATATATATATATATATATATATATATATATATAGACTCGGAGAAGGGAATACAGAGCATTCAGAGAAAAACTTGCCATTTAACTTTAAATACGTACGAGTGTTCACTTCTCCTACCATCCCTTTTTATGTTATTTATGTTGTACACTTTATTATACAAGGTTACATAGCTAAATATCTGATTGGTTACAAAAAGTGGACATTAAAAGGAAATAAAGTGAAGTTTGTTTCCTAGAGGCTGTAGATTTCTTCGAACTCCACCGACGCCGGGCAGGAACCGAGGATGCAGCGGGCATTCCCCCTCTGGATCGCGACAGAGGCGCTGGAAGAGAAAACTTGCCGCTCTAGGGTCTCTTGTAGTGTCAATGAGCCTGGAACCCAAATCCTTAAGAAACCTCCTTGCACTCTCTCCCCATGGGCCAATGGTCTCGGATCCTATTAAAACGAAGTTGTGGTGTCAGCTTTCAAATTGTAAGACGGTTGGGGAATAGCCAATCACAGAGGCAGCAAGGCCTATGACGTCATTCCCACGGACCCGGTAGTGGCCGCTCTGAATTGGAGGACGTCAGTGTCTCAGAGACGCAGACTGGCTCCCAGCCCCGCTCCTGTGCCAGGTAAGTCCACTACGGGCTCACCATAGCCCGTGCTACTTGGAACTTGTTCAGAGTAGCTGGATCTATAACACCAACAACAATATCTGACAGACCTAAGGCAGGGTAGGATTTCAGTGCTTCAGACCTTTCTTATTCACCTTATTCATTGAAGTTCTATGAAGTTCTACAGTGTCTCTCTTCAGTTCCAAGCAAGATCCAAACAACCACCAACGAAGCACGAATACTGGGACGAATAGTACCGGTGATCTATTTCCCTGTACTTGGTTGACTTGTTTCTCTCTGTGTGTGCGTCACCGCGGCACCTGCTTGGCCGAGAGAGAGGTTGGTGTATGTGGTTGCCAGGGTGGATACGCAAGTATAGTCCCACGCCAACTGTCTGCCATTTGTCCAAGGGGCGCAGAGTGATTCCATCTGGTCGGCCAGCAAAGTTAACAGGGTTACGGTTCAACAGGTTGCGGGGGCAGTATATATATATTATATATAGATTGTGTTTTCTTATTTATTTCGAAATGTTAACATCAAACAAATTATCATCGCAACACCTAATCCCTCTTCATTAACAAACACACAGCCATTACACACTAATTACCCTCAAATCCATCTAAATGATAAACTGGACTTTTGAATTTTCCTCTCTGTCCGCTCACATTATATCACTAACAACCATAAACTATAATTATGTTCTCACCCACCGATACCCCTGAGCCCAACCTCCAATAATAAGCACTGATTACAATCCACCCACTCATGATCCTCTCCCAGACTCACGATCCACGCAGCCTCATCCTTCCATATCCGCCTTTGATTCGGATCCACACACACACATCCACACACCACCATAAATTCTCCTACCTCGTTCACTCGCATTCTAATCCTATCATAAACACCCTTGAACCCTTGACTGAGATCCACACAATCAAATAAGAACGTGATTTAGATCCACACAATCAAATAAGAACGTGATTTAGATCCACACAATCAAATAAGAACACTATTTAGATCCACACAATCAAATAAGAACACTATTTAGATCCACACAATCAAATACGAAGATAAGGCTGACTTAGATCCGCACAATCACATCAGAATCAAGAGAACTATATAGAGACTATTGTCCTGTAAAAGATAATTCCCATATACTGTCACCAGGAACCCCCCCCCACCCATAACTAACCCTGAACAAAACTAAACAATCCCACTCCTCCGCTACTACCCGCTAAGTTGTTCTCATAACACTACAACCATATTTCCAATCCAGTATTTACCCAGGTCTTTCCTGAATCTAAACTTATCTGGGGCATACCTGGAGTTTCGAGAGAGGTTCTACCCCTTAATCCAGCCTGAGGATAGCCTATGGGATCTTACCCCCTTACATTTCTCTCCTTTATCCTGAAATAGTTCTTCCTCATTTCCATCCAAACACAGTTATCCTGCTGTAAATCCCCAGTCTAATGAATATATGCAAATCTCTTCACCCTTACCATAAAATCTGTCATCTTATCCGGATTTAAATCTCCCTCAATCCCCGCCACGTGGCGAAAATACACTCCATATTTTAACAGGAACCTTCAACAGGATTACAGTAATTATCAGCACGCTGATTAGCACAATAATTAACACAAACGCTAATAGCATCATAGATAATTAACAGTAACAAAGTATATAACCATTGGACAGCATGGTTATATTTTTGGAAAAAAAATTTAGCCTAGTACACACGGCCGAATTTTTTTGCCAAACGCTGACCATAAAAAACTGATCAAAAGAGGACTTATAACATTAAGGTAAATTTTCGGTTGTGACAGATAATATAAGACATAAATTTGTTATTTGTTATTGTTATTATTATTATTATATATTCTACATACATTGAGGATGAAGAATACATATAATATATTCTACATCTATATTCCAATAGAATATATACTTTGGTCCCCCACTTTCTTCGCTATTTTGTTGTCTATACTGCTTTATACTGTGTTATCTTGAGATGATTTCGGGGCTTTAGTGTCCCCGAAATTTAGTGTTCCCCAAATGACACACAGAAATCACGCTATTGTGATTTCTGTGTTTCATTTGCTCTTCTCTCGAATTGCTTGCGTTTTTTGTTATATCAGCCTCTATTATAGTTGTTAAAGATTCGTTATTTAGAACAAAATGTTCTAAGTAACACGGGCTATGGTGAGCCTCTAGGTCTTCTATTCCCCTTCCTATTTCCTATCTTCTATCCCCTACCCTTGCGGTCTCCTATTTCCCCTTCTTGGCGCCTATCCCTCTCTCCCCATCTTTATTACTTTACACTTTGGAAAACAATACCAAGTTTTTGTGAAGGAGGAAATGTATATGTTTACCTCTCAGAATGTTTGGTAATGTGTTTATTTGTGATATGTGTTTATGTATATATTAACACGTTGTACTGAATGGGGTGAGAATAGCTTGAGCTACCTCATCCCTTTGTGTGTATTTTACCTCAATAAACTGATTTCAATTTCAATTTCAATACCAAGTTAGAGAAAGACACTTCATATACCGCATATCTACTATCAAGTTATACCCAGTTATATTCTTAAATTAAACTGTTACATGGAATAAAAAGATGCTGAAAAAGTCCTGCCCACAGACCTGATTAACTTTGGGACTTACCTGCCTACTGGCTACCATATTTTGTACGACTGTTGATAAACTTCCAATCCAACAGAGACGTGTACTATGCAGACGACGAGCCACAATAACATGGCTGAACATATGGTGACCAAACTCCACACGAACTACATGTGACCACCAAAGGTGTCTATAAATACAACTGTATCCTACTGTATTCCATTCACCATTTGGTCCGGGAGACATCTCCCGTCACGCAGGGTGCAGTTGCGCCTCCACAGATCTCCAGTATCATCTTTTGATACTGGTAATGGCTCGAAAGGGCCACCACTTACGGGCTATTCATGCCCGTGCCACCTCTTGGGTGGCTTAATCTTCATCAATCAATCAATCACTGTATACCACTTACAACAACTTCAGCCTAGGTCTAGACATTCAAGTCCTCTGTCAGGTACAAATTTTCTAGTGCACTATAGAGGCAAACTCACCATCCTACAGTGACGTGGGCCACTACAGTGACGTGGTCCTCATCGACGTGGTCACGGTGGTGTTTGTGGTGGTCGCCGCCGCCGCCGATGGGGGCGTGATGGTCGCCGCTACCGCCACCGGAGCCGCCGCCGCCGCCGCCACCACCTCGCCGGTGGTCTCTGTGGTTCTCGTACTTGTGACACACCAAGCGGAAGTCGGTGTGGCCGCGGGTCTGAGAAGGGACATACAAGGCCCAAGTCAGGCTCGGATGCCTACAGATCAGAGGCTGGTTGGTCAGGTTATATTACACGTCAGGGGCTGGTTGGTCAGGTCATATTACACGTCAGGGGCTGGTTGGTCAGGTCATATTACACGTCAGGGGCTTGTTGTCCGGGTCATATTACACGTCAGGGGCTGGTTGGTCAGGTCATATTACACGTCAGGGGCTGGTTGGTCAGGTCATATTACACGTCAGGGGCTGGTTGGTCAGGTCATATTACACGTCAGGGGCTGGTTGGCCAGGTCATATTACACGTCAGGGGCTGGTTGGTCAGGTCATATTACACGTCAGGGGCTGGTTGGCCAGGTCATATTACACGTCAGGGGCTGGTTGGCCAGGTCATATTACACGTCAGGGGCTTGTTGTCCGGGTCATATTACACGTCAGGGGCTAGCTGTCCGGGTCATATTACACGTCAGGGGCTAGCTGTCCGGGTCATATTACACGTCAGGGGCTAGCTGTCCGGGTCATATTACACGTCAGGGGCTTGTTGTCCGGGTCATATTACACGTCAGGGGCTTGTTGTCCGGGTCATATTACACGTCAGGGGCTGGTTGGTCAGGTCATATTACACGTCAGGGGCTGGTTGGCCAGGTCATATTACACGTCAGGGGCTTGTTGTCCGGGTCATATTACACGTCAGGGGCTGGTTGGCCAGGTTATATTACACGTCAGGGGCTAACTGTCCGGGTCATATTACACGTCAGGGGCTAGCTGTCCGGGTCATATTACACGTCAGGGGCTGGTTGTCCAGGTTATATTACACGTCAGGGGCTAGCTGTCCGGGTCATATTACACGTCAGGGGCTGGTTGGCCTGGTCATATTACACGTTAAGGCTCACTACCCAGGTCAGGACTGCATGACCTGGTCAGAACCTGTTGCCTAGGTCAGGACTGATGGCCCAGGTCGTGGGCATCCAGTCGTCAAAGGTCAAAGTATTGTCATCATAGGTCCACTATTAAAACTTTCAAAGGACACCACGAGTCGGCAAAAGTCAAAATTTCACCTTCATTGATCATGGGTCACTAAAAGTAGCATTTACCCTGCGGAAATAAAAACATTTGAAAAATTAGAGAATGCTGAACGCGTTTTCGGCTCGATTCGCCCTCATCAGAGCAAGATACGAGAGTTCTTGCAGATGTTATCAGAAATCAGATTGGCAGTTCAACACAAATAACTTTCACTGCTAAAGGTCATTTAAGGTCAATGTCACGATTATAACAATTAACAGGTCTTCTTAATCATGTACTAGACATTGATGCCCTTAATCATGTTTAAGACAATGAGGTTCTTAGTCAAGATCAAGTCAGTGTAAGATACAAAACTCGAGCCAAGATAGATCACTAATTCTCAATCGAGGTCAAGATAGTCAATATTGTTTATATTGTCTGTGCAGGTCACACTAATTCATCTCCAGGGCCAATGTGGGTATGAATATTGATCAGAGTCAATGCAGGCTAGAATAAACATTGATCAGGGTCATTGCAGGTCAGTATGAATGATCCTGTTAATGGTCAACACACCCCAGTATGATCAGGACACACAAAGCTGATCACAAATCCTGAATAAAATTCGGTTTTTCGGTATGAATACTGATCAATACAGTTCAGTATACAGATTGTGGTTAAGGTAGGCTTGTATACCCATACATTAGCCAGTACAGTATGATACCCAACCATGACAAATGGGTCTAGTTTTTTTCTTTTTTTTTCAGGGATATTCCTGCGCTGGCCCTAAGCCTTTGGCTGGCCCACTTAAGTGTTGCTTGTTTCTGTTTTACTTGGGCGGAGTATGAGTATTTATGACTCGTATGGTCGCTTCAAATGGGTATGTTAATACATCATCTGAGCTCATCAGTTAATATCCTCATTTGAACCATAACAGAAGTATTACAAAGCTTAAGAGTTAAATAACATCATTCATCGCTGTAATTAGTGATGTAAAATTTCCAAACCATGCATAATCTAATTATGTTTAACTTTGCAAATTACAAACTAGCCTCAAGAGCCCGTTCTTCTGAGCCTGGATTCGTCAAGGATTTACGCAGCCATTTGCGAAACCAATACATCTTCCCTACATCATGGCGGCTTTGTTTACATCAAGCGGTTCATACGAGCTCCATAGTATTACAAAGTTGTTTACAACAATAATACGCTGGGGTTGTGAGGTTTCCAGCACCTAAACTCTTTGATAAAACAGCCGCCATGATTAAGGTTTAAGATGTACAGGTTTCGTCAGTAAGTGCTCTATAAATAAAACAAAGTTGAGGGCTTGATGGGAGAAGTTTTAGCCCCCCGAGAGTTCTTTCTGTCCCAGTATTACGGCCATTACGGCACCACTTAATGGCATCTTGGGTTGTGAGCTGGAGCTCCTGGAAGGTAGTGTTGTCTCGAAGGATTGCCACGCAACGTCTTATTGCATAAGCAATGTCTTATTGTATTGGAGGTAGATTCTACAAATTCTACAACCACCGAATCTTTTATTATTATGATTGCGTCAAATTGAATGTCTGTTGTATCGTAGCTATACACTCTGAACACTTGGACTGTCATTGATAAGCTTAGCGACGCTGGAAGGTCATATATTTATACTTGAGATAACTTTGTAGCAACAATAGAAGGCATTCCTTGTCATAATTCTGCAAAGCTGGAAAATCTTGCTTTGTCGCATGCACGCAAAACTATAATCATTTGGTTAACCATAAGTTTGCAACAGTGGAAGATCACACGTGTACAAAACTATGCGACACAAGGAAAAAAAAGGGAGGGCAGTTGTCTGGAAACCTACGAAAAGATCTTACTAGATCATAAACTTGCAAGACTCGAATGATTTATATCCTATTAAGCTTGCAACACTGAAAAGAATTACTGTACCAAAAGCTCATTACAGATCAAGACAAGACTGCCCAGATCAGGACCGGTTGCCCAAGTTATCATGTCACTAGGAGCTTGAGAACTGGACCAAAAAAATTAAAGTTGTCTCCGGATTGTTAAACATCTGAAGAACCTGAATATTCTCCGGCAGCCAAAATCCATCACCGCTCAGCGTCCTACCACAGCCCAACGCTCTTACCTTCGTGGCCGCACTTACCTCTATGTCTTCAGGAGCCGCGGTGCCGTTGCTGATCCTCAAGGAGGTGTTCTTGTGGTACACGAAGTAACTCTGGCTGTTGTCAAGTGTGTGCCAGTGGCGATGGGTCGTCAGCCACCCCGGGAACTTGCACTTCCTTCCGTTGTGAGTCACTGGTGAGATTCAAGAATACACGTTACAAAATTATCAACACGTTGCAACAAGTCTAAACATTATTACACAAGACGATGGCACCAATATATCACTATGAACTCTTTGACCCGGCCAGGATTCGAACCCATGCCGTCTAGGATCACCCCTAAACGTACACAGTACCGTGACCACCGCACCAATGATCGTCTATTGGTGCGATCTAGACGATCATTGGTGCGGTGGTCACGGTAGAGTGTACGTTTAGGGGTGATCCTAGACGGCATGGGTTCGAATCCTGGCCGGGTCAAAGAGTTCTTAAGTGATCTATGGCTTGCGCGTTCATGCAGCTTTCTCACATATATAGTCAAAGTCACATATAGTATAGTCATTGTAAACAATATCTTTTAATATATTCCCATTTATAATATGTCCTTAAAGGCATTCATAAGAAGTGAGAAATGTTACTCTGGGTTACTCCTTTCCTTTATTGACTAGATACTTTTCCAGAGATGAAATGTTTAAAAAATAATAAACCCCTAGGTTTTTATCCTTACTGATTGTTATTAGAATTGCATTACAACATTTATAACATTGATGAGGCATATACTTTTCACTCCCCAATTTACAAAACCACATATCAAAATCCAATTTTTGACATCAATTACTTTAATGGTCTATTTTGGTGTAAAAGCCACTAATTTAAATGTAAACAGATAATACAGTTCTTATCCACTAATCCCATGACAGGATTAACTGCCTGGAAATTAGATTAACAAATTCTACAATATCTTGATTTGAAAACAGAAACCCACAAGGCTCTCATCCCACTCTCCATCTTGAACAAATCAACAACGACCCCCATTATCTTCTATCTTGAGGTTATCTTGAGATGATTTCGATGCTTTTAGTGTCCCCGCGGCCCGGTCCTCGACCAGGCTTCCACCCCCAGGAAGCAGCCCGTGACAGCTGACTAACACCCAGGTACCTATTTTACTGCTAGGTAACAGGGGCATAGGGTGAAAGAAACTCTGCCCATTGTTTCTCGCCGGCGCCTAGGATCGAACCCAGGACCACAGGATCACAAGTCCAGCGTGCTGTCCGCTCGGCCGACCGGCTCCTCTTTAACTAAACCGAAGGAAAAAAATCAACTAAACTCACTCAAATCACAACTAAACTCAAATCACTAAACTCACCTTTAGTGAGTTTCATGGTCTTGCTGCCCTCATGAGCCGAGATGAGTCCTTGGCAGGTTGCATCGGCCGACTGGGCAAGGTTCCAGGTCTGGGTGTTGCCCTGGTGGTGTGGGTGTTCGTATATGAAGCAGCGATAGCGGTCCTCGTCACTGTTGGCGTGGATGTGGTTCACCTTACCCACCAGGTAGTGGTTCGAACCCTCTTTCCAGGATGCCAGGCACACCAGCTCTTCCACTGAGGGGGGGAAAAAAAATCACGTTTAGTTAACATTCTTTAGTTGAAACGTCACCCTGGAGTTTGGTAACACTTTTACAACTATCATCAAATTAAAAGTTATATACAATTTAAGACGTTCTAATATATGTGAACGTCATATGAACGTCATATAAAACGTCTATATATATCTATATATGTGATGAACTTTAGAAAGTGCGAGAACCAGTATGGATTTATAATGACTTGCAGTTTGCCTCATATATTTAACATATGAACACGCTATTCATTAGATAAAAGTTAAAATTTTGTTAGTTCATATCAGGAATATTGTCTTACATTATCTAAGGTAAAATTTCCACTCATGCACTATTCCTGAAATCAAATTATACACGAGGTTATTTCAAAGAATACATCATGCACAGTTTTGCAACACTATGTATATGTTTAAAATACAATATGACTAACATTCCATGTGTACTAGTAAACACAATCCAATATTAAAAATATGGCCTCTAACCCTGGATTCATAATACTAGGTTTCTCCAGTCTAATGGTATGATTGTGTGGCAAAACTGTATTAATGGTATAATTGTATATTTGTATTAATAGTATAATTAATGGCATAAATGTCTTAAGACGTACAAACCTCCTCCAGTAATAGGAGAAGAAAGTAAAGCTTTTTAGGAAGGCTAAGCAGCCTCCATACTTGAAAGCAAAAGTCAAAAAAAGGGAGAGACTATGGCAATCCGTTACCATAGCTCAGCCTGAAAGGAGCTTCTCCAAACGGATTAAAACTCCTCAATTTTTGGATAAAAAGTTTTGAACTTGTGTGAAAAGTTTTTTTTTTTTTTTTTTTTTTCCCCTCCTCGACTCAAATGACGCAGAGCAGAAGCGCCCTTGTGGAAAGAAGTAAACGCGAATGAAAATAGCCTAAATCTTTCTGAGCTGATAAAACCAAAAACTGAATAATCAGTTTTTTTTTGGTTTAAGCTTTATAAAAAAATTACAAAAGGCTTATAAAAAGTAAAAAAAAAGGCTGCAGAGAAACGTAAACCTTGCATAAAAATAAAATTATATATATATATATATATATATATATATATATATATATATATATATATATATATATATATATATATATTTTAAAACCCTTTAAAAACAGCCTAACTTGGAGAATCAGGGGCCAGATTCACGAAACAGTTACGCAAGCACTTACGAACATATACATCTTTTCTCAATCTTTGGCGGCTTTGTTTACAATTATTAAACAATTAACGAATTCCGAAGCACCAGGAGGCTATATATAACAACAGTTGATTGGGAAGTTTTCATGCTTGTAAACTATTTAATTAATGTAACAAAAGCCGTCAAATACCGAGGAAAGATGTACAGGTTCGTAAGTACTTGCGTAACTGCTTCGTGAATCTGGCCCCAGATCAGAAAGATCTCTTTGTGATAGAAACAGGAAGGAAAATGCTTACCAAAGCTCTCAGAGCCGGGGACATCAGCACACGCCTGGTGACGGAACAGCAGCCTTGAATCCTCAGCGCACGAGTCCACCTTGAAAAAAGAAATATATATATATACACACACACGCTTTTTTAACATTGATTAAGTCTACCTAAAAAGTGATAAAATACGTTTTCTTTCGTAATTATTGTTGCAACCTATCCTTCTGAAATTCTGAAATGACAGTTCTTGTGACGGTCTAACAGTCAACCATTTTTTTGTACTATTAACTTCATACAGTCCATAAAAAACAACAGCTAGAATTCAAATTTAAATATGCTAAGGTCATTTACAGCATACATGTAATTTATTAGGCCTACTGAAGTGTGTGTTAGGCCTAAGATGGCTAAGCGAGGTTAGGTTAGGGTTGAAAGGTTTCCGGATTATCCACATTCAATAGTACAAAAGTCAACTTTCTGGTGGCCCATCACTACATATAATTATTGGTACTTTCTGGTGGTCTATCACTACATATTGGTACTTTCTGGTGGTCCATCACTATATATTGGCACTTTGTGGTGGTCCATCACTATATATTGGTACTTTGTGGTGGTCCATCACTATATATTGGTACTTTCTGGTGGTCCATCATTATATATTGGTACTTTGTGGTGGTCCATCACTATATATTGGTACTTTCTGGTGGTCTATCACTATATATTGGTACTTTCTGGTGGTCCATCACTACATATAATTATTGGTACTTTCTGGTGGTCCATCACTACATATTGGTACTTTCTGGTGGTCCATCACTACATATTGGTACTTTGTGGTGGTCCATCATTATATATTGGTACTTTGTGGTGGTCCATCACTACATATTGGTACTTTCTGGTGGTCCATCATTATATATTGGTACTTTGTGGTGGTCCATCACTATATATTGGTACTTTGTGGTGGTCCATCACTACATATTGGTACTTTCTGGTGGTCCATCACTATATATTGGCACTTTGTGGTGGTCCATCACTACATATTGGTACTTTCTGGTGGTCCATCACTATATATTGGTACTTTGTGGTGGTCCATCACTATATATTGGTACTTTCTGGTGGTCCATCACTACATACTTTCCACCAAATAGTTACTATAAGTACTTGAATTTTAGGAAAAAAAGTCTGATTTATTAAGTATTCGGTTGTAACAAAGAGTTTATTAAGAAAATCCATCGGGCATCGAATTCCAATCAGGGGTGGTTGTGTTTGATTCTTATCTTAATAGCATAAATGTGATCTTATCTTGTCTGTGATTGTGTGAAATACAAAACTTAGCAGCTACTTAATGCTTCCCCAACATGTCATCCAAAAATGATACTGCCTATTAATATTATTATTACTAAGGACATCAGTACAGAATATGCATTGTTGCAGAAAATGGGAACCCATTTTGCACTAATAGGTTAGTAAAGAGCCAAGGAATGCAACACTCTAAATTTAAACTTTCGTTGGCTTTGTATAGCACATATATGCACTAAATTGGGCCTATATATTAGGCCTGGGATAAATGATTTAGGCCTAGCATGGGATTACGTTTATAGCTACTGGTTCACTTATAGCCAGAACCTTCACAGTATGTAACAATAGTAGTAAATATGACCTTTTGTAAAGGGTCTGAAAAGGGGTAAGGGGGGGGGAGCATGGGGGGTCTGGATGGGGGGGTAGGCAAGGAAATTGTCCTGTAACAAGAAAATTGTCCTGTAACAAGGAAATTATCCTCTAACAAGGAAATTGTCCTGTAACAAGGAAATTGTCCTGTAACAAGGAAATTGTCCTGTAACAAGGAAATTGTCCTGTAACAAGGACAATTGTCCTGTAACAAGGAAATTGTCCTGTAACAAGGACAATTGTCCTGTAACAAGGAAATTGTCCTGTAACAAGGAAATTATCCTGTAACAAGGAAATTGTCCTGTAACAAGGAAATTGTCCTGTAACAAGGACAATTGTTAGATACCACAATTATCTCCTAATCCTCCATTCACAAAATTTGGCGAATTACTTGATCATAAATTTACCTCTTGGGGAAAATTTACTTGATGGAAACTTAATATCTACCTCTACCCTCCCTCCCTCCTTTCCTTCCCTCCCTCCCTCCCTCCCTCCCTCAGTCCACCCCTCCCCCCCCCCCCGCCACCCCAAAAACCTTTGCAACCTTCCCTAGCAACAATTTTCTCTCCTCAACCCGCACATGGGCATAACGGGGGGCACGATCGAGCAACTTTTTACAAGAACCAGGTCGTTATCACCTCATAACGAAGAGGGAGGTATGAGGGAAGGTGTTCATTGGATGAGGGGAGGGGGGGGTGGTGGAGGGAGGGGGGGGCAAGGTGGTTCAAATTAAAAAAAAAAAATCCTCGCTTCCCATAATGCCAGTAATTGGGTCCGAAAAAGAAATACCTTTATGTAGGAGACATTATCCATAGTGGTAAACTTGGGTCAGGGTGAGAGACAGAGAGAGACAGAGAGAGAGAGAGAGAGAGAGAGAGAGAGAGAGAGAGAGAGAGAGAGAGAGAGAGAGAGAGAGAGAGAGAGAGAGAGAGAGAGAGAGAGAGCAAATAACAACCACTCCACCTATCAAATTCCTCCACAGCCATTAATTCCTAGCTAATTTCCCCTCTTGGCCAGATTTCCCCCTCCTTTTATGCCCCCCCCTATGAGCTCCGCTAGTTCCACCAGCATAATCTTCCAAGTATCCGATAAACTGAGGCTTAAATCCGGATAAACGGAGAGAGAGAGGGGTGGGTGGGAGAGATGCACTCCCCCTGATGATCAAGAACAGCGGTAGGACCCATGCTGCCTTCACTGCAAAATTAAAACAAGTACCCTTATAAAATAATTATATATAAGTATATAGGGACGGATGTGGGGGGAGAAATGTTCCACTGCTTGTTATAGCGATATAACGATAGTTAACTGGAGTATATCAACATACTGGGTCTCTGTATGTTCTTCTACTCCCCAGGCCCGGCCCGAGGCCAGGCTTGACTTGTGAGAGTTTGGTCCAACAGGCTGTTGCTTGGAACGGCCCGCAAGCCCACATACCCACCACAGCCCGGTTGGTCCGGCACTTCTTGCAGGAACTTATCTAAGTGCCTCTTGAATACAGTGCATACAAATACAATACGGCCCCAGGTGTTAAAATGTTGTATTAGTAGCATTCCGAGTGTTAGAATGTTCTGATAGCATACTCGGTGCTAGAATGACGTATTGATAGCTTATCCGGCGTTAGAACAATATACAGTACTGTATTGATAAGAGTACAATAGGATTAGTAAGATGCAGTTTTAGAATAACGGGTGTTAGACTAATCCAATAATATAATTATACAATACTAGCTTTTCAAAGACTTTTTGGGCAAACTAGATCCTCCAACAAAGAATTGGGATATGAGGACAAGGAATTGGGATATGAGGACAAGGACCTGGGATATGAGGACAAGGAACTGGGATATGAGGACAAGGAACTGGGATATGAGGACAAGGACCTGGGATATGAGGACAAGGAACTGGGATATGAGGACAAGGAACTGGGATATGAGGACAAGGAACTGGGATATGAGGACAAGGAACTGGGATATGAGGACAAGGAACTGGGATATGAGGACAAGGAACTGGGATATGAGGACAAGGAACTGGGATATGAGGACAAGGAACTGGGATATGAGGACAAGGAACTGGGATATGAGGACAAGGAACTGGGATATGAGGACAAGGACCTGGGATATGAGGAAAGGCTTAGATACGCCGTAAACCAGTTCCACATAAGCGATGTACATAATGTATACATTATGTACACACTATATACACTTTTAGACAACAAATAAATTGAAATAAAATCACCAAATAAATTAATCCTAAATCACTTTAAAAAAAATCAAGATTTTGGAGAAAAACAACAAACTCACGCAACTAGTGACTGTAGCAATTTACACATTGTAAATAGAGTGAAAATGTCAACACAATAGAACGGAAACTGACGAAGTTTTTTTTCGCATAGTGAATAAAACAAACGGTGTTTTGATATTTAAATATTCCCGCCAAAAAAATATGGCGCCAACGAAGCTCAGCAAGACTATATCAGCTCACATATGCAACTTAATATGCATTTTACAATTTCTAACAGAATATATATATATATATATATATATATATATATATATATATATATATATATATATATATATATATATATATATATATATATATGTGTGTGTGTGTAGTGAAGTGGTCTCTCTCTCTCTCTCTCTCTCTCTCTCTCTCTCTCTCTCTCTCTCTCCCTCTCTCTCAGCCAGGAAGCAGCCAGTAACAGCTGTCTAACTCCCAGGTGCCAATTTACTGCTAGGTGAACAGGGACGGCACGGTGAAAGAAGCTCTGCCCATTAGTTTCCGCCTCCGCCGGGGATCGAACCCGAAACCTTAGGATTACGAATCCCGAGCGCTGTTCACTCAGCCGTCAGGACCCTTAATTAGGACCATGATCTAGCTTAAAGTACATTTGCTGTACGATTACAGTAAACTGTTTACGGAATACTCGGTAAACCTCAACACACTGAATACATAATTTAGTATCCCACCGAGATTTCAATCGTTATTAATACCAATAATTAAATCATAATCCTTTATTTCCCTATTGTATTTTATTTAAATATTTTATTATTTTTTTCCTTGTATCTCTCTTTTTTTCCCTCCAAAAGCACTATTATTTTCCCAGTATTTGTTATATTTCTTTCATGATATTTCGTACCTTGTCCTAACTCCCTTTAAATCCATTGGGGCTCTCTGTTTTTAATTGTTAATGCAATCAATACTGTTGTTTTCACAGCATGGGGAAAAATAACGCTATACTGTCTTTTTTAATATATTTGCAACAACTCTGTCTCTGTCTGTCTCTGTCTCTCTCTCTCTCTCTCCATCTCTCCTTCTCCCTCTCTTTTTCTCCCTCATTCACTAAGGGCTTCCCTCTCTCCGTGTGTGTGTGTGTGTGTGTGTGTGTGTGTGTGTGTGTGTTTCTTCCTTTCCCTTTCATTTATTTTCTCCTCCCTCGTATAGTGCTCTC